CCTGTGGTCATAGTGGCTGTGTGGGATGTGTGTACTCAGGCCAACAGATACCCAAATCAGTGCTCTTCTCAGCTGCTTGCCCGGTTTTGGTTGTACTCCTAGGGGCCAAAGAAGAAATCTAATCTCCTTTCCCCATGACAGCCCTTCAGATATTTGAAAACAATTTCACTCTTGAGCCTCCTTCCCCCACTTTCTTTCAAAGTGTTTAGTGCCTAAAAATAAGGGCAATACCCCACGCTTGGCCTAGCCAACACTTGGTGGATCAGAATTATCACTTCCCTTGTTCCAGGTGCTCAGATTTTATTAATGCAACTGTTAAAGGAAAATCCAGACCAGGCCAGAAGAATCCCTGAGCAGACAAAGCCAGTTATGCCTCATAAGTTAGGTTAACTGACCTTAACCTTGCTTGATTTGCAAACAGAGGTGAAACTTAATTTGCACTTTTTTTGTAAATGCCTGTTTTAAAGAAAAACAGAACTTAAGCTCAATCAATGAGAGGCAGCCAACAAACATAATTATACACCTAGGGACTTAACAATGGGTTAGACCCAATAAGGCAACTGTATAACTGCAACCAATCAAATATTTTCTTAGCTTTACTTCTGTGTTTGTCCTATAAAAGCCTTTGCTTGTGTTGTCTCTGGGGAGCTCCCTAGCCACTTGTGGTTTGGAGTTGCATGATTCATGAATTGCTGCTTGTTCAAATAAACTCTTTAAAATTTTATTGTGCCTCAATTTTCTTTCTAACACAATCCATTATACTGTTGACGACTGGTTTCTAATCCGTTGTGAATAGAGCCTCCTGCCAATGTTTATGCTTCTCTTGCTGTAAGATCTGGTGTGATTACCACTTGATTACCACAGATCAGCACTTGCATACTAGCCTTTAAATCAAGAGTCAGCTGAGTAGAAGAAAGAACACTGCCTGGTAGATCAGAAGTCAGGAGACCTTTGTTCTACCTAGCATAGCTCCCTTTAGCAAGTTACTTGATGTGGGGAAGTCACTTCACTTCTCTATGCCTCAATTTTTTTCACATGTAAATCGGGAAGTTTGAAGTAGATGACGTCTCAGGTTCACGTCCTATCCCCCTGGCTTTACAATCAAATATTTCTCAAACGAAAAGGGAATGAAGAGAACATCATTCTCAGGGGCCCTTTGAGAATTCTTAATAGGCCCTTGAGAGTGATGTTACGTAGCCACATCCCAAGCCTTAAACCATTCCTCTTCAAACATGCCGTGCCATGAAAACAGGCACACACAAATAAAATTGCATTGTTAGCATCTTGATTACATGTATGTACAAATTCCCAAATACATAACTCGGACATATGTATCCACATACACATACACCCTGTCATTCCCCTTACACATCCAGAGGGTAAATCTGTTGTAAAATCTGTTGTATAATGTGTCCCCAAACCTCAAGAGGTATTCTAGAATGTGCCCTTCAGCTGTAAGACCATTGTTTCCTAGGGTGCTATAGTAACAAACTTACCTTCATGTCTAATGTCTGGCACTAATATTTAGAACCTGAATTTCCAAATGATAAGTTGGTCTCTTGCTCCTGCTCTGGATTTTCTGGGTTTGAAATGGTAGTTGGGAGGATTTAACAAAAGATCCAACTGCATGACTGTGTTGGTTTCTGGAATGGATGCCTGAGATCAGAGCCAGGTACCTCAGGAAGAAGACAGGGTGGATGCCATCTTGCTTGTCAACAGAGGAATAAATAGAATGTCTGGATGAGAAGGCATCTAAGTCTGAAACTTGGAGATCTAGGCAGAAATGATATCTATTCCCAGAAAGCCTTGTAATGGGGTACACACAAGGCAAAGATCTGAGCCTTGTGGTGGTAGCTAATCAGCATTAGCTGGTGGTGGTAAGAAAAACGTCCTTCCTGAATCTAAAGGGCATAGAGGTTGAAGAAAAGGAGGAAGCACGTTGATGAGTCCTCTCACTAGAGAGGAAACAGAGGAATTAACTTTCCCTGTTATTTAGAAGAGAGGCCAGAGCTCTGGGGAATCTATTAATATGTCCCACTTCCATAATTAGTACCTTGCCTGGAGGTGTCCAGAGAGGAGTCCCCCAGGGCAAGGAAGGGGGAATTCTGGAGGAAAAGCCTCTTTGGGGTAGTGTGTCTCTGGCAGTGTCTGAAGGCCAGAGGCACCATAATTTCCTCTCATTATCATTTCTGCTCTTAAGTCTTGAGTTAGAATTTCACTCTCTGATTGAGTGACCTAAGCTGACTGCTTAACCTCAGTGATTCTCAGTAGCACCATCTGTAACAAATGGAAAACAGCCCTTTTTTGTTAGAGATGTCGTGGATTTGCTGAAGTCATCCTCAGTTTTGCAAGCAGCTTTGACTCTTATGTCTTCGGCTTTGCCCTCAAACCCTCCTTGTTGTCACCCTTCCCCTCCTTCTCCCTTTCGCTTCCCCTTATTTCTTGAGGATTTTTGTCCCCGGTTCACTCTCACTCTCTCCAGTACTATTCCTGCCATAATTCTTAGTGAACTCAGCATCCACGTAGATTACACGTCTGTCCTCTGTCCTCTCAGCTCCCTCCTCAGTTAGGGGTTTGAAAATTTTTCACTGTCTCTCACCTCCCCCATGTCTTCACTTTTCTCTCTATTGAGTTTAGATTCCCTAGTCAATCATTATAATTACTCCTTTGCATACTCTCAAAGTTCCTGCCTTTTTGACTTATTATACTCTTTTGGCTAAGTGGCTCTGCTATTTAAATCCAACTCTAATCCTACTCTCTCCCTGTATTTGTTCAGCAGACTGTGGCTGAGAAAAGCCCATAGCCACGCTAAGAGGCTTCACCTTACATTCATGACCATCAACTTTAAAGGACAGGGGATAATGCCATGCAATAAATAATCAGATTATATTTTCCTAGTTTACTCACTTGCCCATTCTCCTACATAACTAGTACAACCTTCCTCGTCTCTCTTCAAATCCCCAATACTCCCTCTCTCTCTCTCTCTCAAATGATACCCTCTTTCTCAGAAATTTTACTCCACATTTCATTGAAAAGAATTTAAAGAAATCAGAAGAGAATTTTGACAAGTTCTCACCAAACCATCTACTCACCTACTTGCATCTGTGCTCATAAATAGTACTCTACCTTTTCTTCTGATATTGCTTGGAATAAACTGT